AAAAAAAAAAAGATCCAGCTCAGAGTGGGAAGGGGATTAACACAGAAGACAGACTTGTCGGTCAGGCACAGTGACTCACACCTATAATCTCAGCATTTTGAAAGGCTGAGGCAGGAGGATCGTCTGAGCCTAGGAGTTTGCTTGGGCAATATAGCAAGACCCTAACTCTACCAAAAACAAACAAACAAACAAAAAAAAAAAAACTAGGGCGTGGTGGCATGCACCTGTGGTCCCAGCCACTTGGGAGGCTGAGACAGGAGGAAAGCTTGAGCCCCTTTTGAGGTTACAGTGAACTATGACCATGCCACTGCACTTCAGCCTGGGTAACAGAATGACACCCTGTCTCAAAAAAACAAAAACAAAAACAAAAGCAAAAGCAAAACCAAACCAAACCAAAACAAACCAAAACAAACCAAAACAAAAGAATTGTTTCTATAGGAGTCTGATTAAATCTATGTTTTGTTTTGAGATGCAGTCTTGCTCTGTTGCCCAGGCTGGAGTGTAGTAGTGCGATCTCAGCTCCGCCTCCTGGGTTCAAGCAATTATCCTGCCTCAGCTTCCCAAGTAGCAGGGATTACAGGTGCACACCACCATGCCTGGCTAATTTTTGTATTTTTTAGTAGAGACGGCGTTTCACCATGTTGGCCAGACTGGTCTCGAACTCCTGACCTCATGATCTACCTGCCTCGGCCTCCCAAAGTGCTGGGATTATAAGAGTGAGACACCATGCCCAACCTAAATGTATGTTTAAAATCCAACAATCAAGGATTCTTTTATGGGTCATTTGCTTGCTGATTTCTAAAGAGCACTATATGAACAGCAAGAAAAAAATTCAAAATTTATCAGTAAAAGTCTAAACCTTTCAAAAGTACAAAGGAAAAAGGAATAAATTTAGCTCAGGAGTAACATTATTTGTGTATTCATATGTCTTGCCTGACCCTAGAGAAAAAGAAAAATCAAGTCTCAAAAAGGATTTAGGCTGGGCACAGTGGCTCATACCTGCAATCCCAGCACTGTGGGTGGCTGAGGTGGGAGGACTGCTTAAGACCAGGAGTTTGAGACTAGCCCGGGCAACAGAGTAAGCCCTGTTTCTTAAAGAAACAAAAACTAGAAAGAACTTAAGTCACACCAGGTAGCAGAAAACTCACAACAATTAAAGCTGCGTTCTTTGTTCTTTTCCATCACCCATTACTTACTTCCTGAACACCACACTCAAAACACTTATTTTCTTCTACTGGCTCGGGCGTTTGACAGTACCGGCAAACAGGACACCTATCCAGGACACCAAAAGATAATGGTGCAGGTTAAATATGAAAGACAGATGTTACAGAACCCAAAAGTCAAACACTGGACTTTATATCCTCCTCCTCTTATATGCTATTTTTAAGTTTATTGTAACTAAGGATATCACTTAAATGACTAACATTTTTGTACTATTCTCAAACAAAATAAAAATATTCAAAATCTTGATAAAACAGAGAAGAATGGAGAAATTGGGATCTGCCTCATGTCCTTTTCTGCTCTTCTGTCTAAAGCTTAGATGATCAAAGGCTAAGTATTTACAGGTTACTAATAGGACTTCATTTCATGTCTGACCATAATGTTGTTTTTTTTCTTTTTTATGAGACAGAGTTTCGCTCTTATTGCCCAGGCGGGAGTGCAATGGTGCGATCTTGGCTCAGCACGCCTCCACCTCCCGGGTTTAAGTGATTCTCTTGCCTCAGCCGCCCAAGTAGCTGGGATTACAGGCATGCACCACCACGCCCGGCTAATTTTGTAGTTTTAGTAGAGACAGAGTTTCTCCATGTTGGTCAGGCTGGTCTCGAATTCCCAACCTCTCAGGTGATCCACCTGCCTCAGCCTTCCAAAGTGCTGGGATTACAGGTGTAATCCACCGCGCCCAACATATAACCTATTTCTACTCCAAACAATCTACCTTATCCCCATTTCCCAAAGATTTAAATCAATCAAAAAGTAACCTGTCTTCTCCAGGTTGCTCCCAAGAGTTGGATTTAAAATCTGTAGCAAATTTTACCAAACTAAAATCAAACTAATTTTTGTTTTTTTTGAGATAAGAGTTTTGCTCTGTTGCCCAGGCTAGAGTGCAGTGGTGCAATCTCAGCTTACTGTAGCCTCTGCCAACCAGGTTCAAACAATTCTCCTGCTCAATCTCCCAAATAGCTGACTATAGGCATGCACCACAATCCCGAGCTAATTTTTGTACTTTTAGTGGGCACAAGGTTTCACCATATTGGTCATGCTAGTCTTGAACTACTGACTTCAAGTGATCTGTCCATCTCAGCCTCCCAAAATGCTGGGATTACAGGCATGAGCCACCGTGCCTGGCTAAATGCAAAGGTGTTAATGTACTTACTGAAATGCACATGACATCTCACTGTACCATGAACATCATGTAGAAGATACCAGTGCCCTATCGAGCATTCATGTCTCAATTTACAAAAAGCCAATAAAAACAATGTCAAAAAATCCATTACTGTTTTCGATTATACTCCACACAAAATAATGCTAAATACTAGTCATGACTATTTTTGTTATATGGGCAAGTAGGCAGAAAGTGAGTGATAGCTGAGGCTGACTGAACTGGCACCAGGAAGAAACAATGCTCAAGATATAACTAGTAACAGTTTGTTACCCAACTGAGTAAATAAAACCAATAAAAGGGAATAAGCAGGAAGAACACTAAGTGTGTGTCACAGATGACCCAGCTCTATCTGTGTAAGAGAAAGTGAAAGGATCCGGTCCGCTTCTTCCTGTAGCATCAAAAGAGAAGAGAGAAGACAAACTTGAACAAAGAACAGAAATGATAGCCAGAAAGCAGCATGCAGCCTTGCTAGAGGTAGAAATTAGCTTTGTCTCATCCCTTTAGTCTGTGTGGTGGCTGTGAAAGCAGCTGAATAAGAAAACAGGCCAAGCGCAGTGGCTCACATCTGTAATCCCGGCACTTTGGGAGGCTGAGGCAGGAGGACAGCTTGAGGCCAAGTCTACCCTGGCCAATGTAGCAGAAGCCCTTCTCAAAAACAAAACAAAACAAACAACAACAACAACAAACTGGAAAGGTCAAATGATCTTTCCGAAATGTAAATCTGATCTTGAGAAAAAAAAAATACTACAAAAATAAACTTATAAAAACAACTAGCAATATATGATATACCACCTCATCTGTCTACTAAAAAACAAGTTTATCAGCCAGGCACAGAGGCTGATGCCTGTAATCCCAGCACTTCAGGAGGCTAAGATGAGTGGACACCAGAGGTTAGCAGTTTGAGACCAGCCTGGACAACACAGTGAAACCCCATCTCTATCAAACATAGAAAATTAGCCAGGTATAGTGGTGCGCACCTGTAGACCCAGCTATTCGGGAGCCTAAGGCACAAAGACTGCTTGAACCCAGGAGGTGGAGGTTGCAGTGAGTTGCGATCATGCTACTGTACTCCAGCCTGGGTGACAGAGTGAGACTCTGTCTCAAAAATAATAATTAATATTAACAGCTTATTAAATTCTTCCTGCCATTCTCTGCAAAAAATAATTTTATCTTATTTTCCTGATGAGATCTTTCCAAAATGGCCTTCTCTGACATCTCTGTGTGTCAAAAAGACCAACACTGCCTCCTACTGCAGCCCTTCCTGAGCACCCCTGGTTGGGGATGCTATTGCTGTTTCTTCCAATCTCCACCCTGAACCACATCCATTTATATACAAGTGTAAACTCTCTTAGACCAAACCATCCCAAGGAAGAGCTGAGTTTGCTTCCTCTGTCTCAGCATCTCTCATGGTTCTATGCATACACGAAAGCCAAAACCCATTCACTAAATGAACTGCATGATTTTGAGGGCAAATGCTATGACTTACACCCCATATGATGGGCTGAGTTCTAGTCCCAGTTCTGGCATTCTCTGGCCATGACTCTTTGAGCTAGCAGATTCTCATCTCTGGGCCTCAGTATCTTCCTACTCTATAAAATGAAGTGGTGGGACAAGATGGTCCTGGAGGAAACTTCCAACTTTAAAATGCTATGGTTCTATAACAGTTAATTTATATCAAAAGGAATACTGGGGCTGGGTATCATGGCTCATGCCTATAATCCCAGCACTTTGCAAGGTCAAGGCAGGAAGACTGCTTGAGCTTAGGAGTTTGAGCCCAGCCTGGACAACATAGTGAGACCCCGATCTCTATGAAAAAATAAAATAAATTAGCTGGGTGTGATGGTGCACACCGGTAGTCCCAGCTGAGGTAGGAGGATCACTTGAACCCAGGAGTTTGAGGCAGCAGTGAGCTGTGATCATATCACTGCATTCCAACCTGGGCAACAGAGCAAGACCCTGTCTCAAAAGAAAAAGTACAACTGGAGTGGCGGGGAACAGAGAAGTGCCTAGAATTTAACTGGTATAGCAGATAGACCCAAGATACAGATAAAGACTTTTTTTTTTTTTTTTTAAAAAAAGAGTTTCACTCTGTTGCCCAAGCTGGAGTACAATGGTGCGGTCTTGGCTCATTACAATCTCCGCCTGCCAGGTTGAAAGCGATTCTCTTGTCTCAGCCTCCAGAGTAGCTGGGATTATAGGAGTGAGCCACCGTGCCCAGCTAATTCTTTGTATTTTTAGTAGAGATGGGGTTTCACCACGTTGGCCAGGCTGGTCTTGAACTCCTGACCTCAGGTGATCTGCCCGCCTTGGCCTCCCAAAGTGCTGGGATTATACGCGTGAACCACCGCGCTGGCCACAGATAAACACTTTAAGGAATGCACATATCTCAGTGTGGCTTTGCTCAAGGCAGTGGAACAACTCCTTGAAAAATTCCCAAATGATACCTGAGAATTGACTGAGGACTCCATGGAACTGGGGCAAGACCCTCATCCAGCTAAATAAGCAGGGCAGCGATAATCTGCAGGGACCCAGTTTATTTATGTCCTCCCCAGAATCTACTGAATTCCTCCTGTGCCACATCCCCTACAAGGTGTGAGAGGTACAGCAGAGAGCAAGCCAGGCATAGCCCCTGCTCTGTGAAGCTGACATTCTTCTTCCAGCCACAAGGCCACTTGTGGGTGGACAGAGATTCCTGCAGACTTTACCCCTCCTTACTTCTGTGCTTGGGAACATGATCTTCCCCGTTCCCCACTGCCTTCTCTTGGTTCTGCTGTTTACCCAGCTTAACTCCTAATTATCCTCCTGGAAAAGCCACTTCTCAGGCGCTCCTGGCTTCACTAGAGCCCCAGTTCTCAGTCCCAATGCTGAACACTGCTCTTCTGTAACACTGGTTATGGCTGTGACTTATTTACTTGTGTGGTTTCATTCTGAGTTCCCCTCTGTACTGGGAAATCCAGAAGGCCAGGGTCTGATACACCTTTGTGGTTAAGTCCCACAGTGCAGTTTGCAAAGGGAGCAACCATCCTTGATTTAGGGGGTAAAAAATAGGTACAGGCCCCACCTCTTCTTTGTCTGTAGCAACATCACCTATGACTAAGACCTGGTATGTTGGGAATCAGGAGACTGTAGAGTAGGGCTCATACTTAGTAACTGCTATTTCTACTCGCCACCAAGCCATCAACAGCCCAGCAAAGCTAAAACATTACGCTGCTGTAGCCTAGTTGATAAGAAAGCCAGAGTGAATGGCAGACACCAAGTACAGCTGATACATGAAATTTCAGACCTAGATTTCATTGCAGCATGAGCGCTTCAAACTAAGCTTTACTCTTTTTTTTCCCCCCACTCTCTGGCTCTTGGAAGGAAAGAATAGCTCATGCTGCTTTGGGGAATTCCACAAGGGTTCTGAATCAGCATACCAAAAAGGACTTGGTCTAAGAATGCCGATTCCATGAACTCAGGAAACAAAAGGAGAAAAAGGACCTCTTGACCATAATGGTGTCAGGTTTATAAAGTCACATACTTGGAATGGTTCATTTCTGCTGGTGGCTCTTTTTAATTCTGGAAAGGGTCACAATGGGCTCATACACAGTAGGGCTTGGCCCTTGCACTCACGTTGTGTCGTCCCAGCGCTGTAGACACTGGCTGTGGAAGCTGTGGTTACATAATGTTGTGAGGATTCCATTCACAGACTCATCCATGCGCTCCAGACATACTGTGCACTTGGGGAGCTCAGTCAAGTCCATCACCGGGAGGCTGGCACCCTACAGGAAACACTTCACATAAGTCTCACTCTTCATCTACCAGCAATACTTCATTTTTCCTTCTTTTTTTTTTTTTTTGGAGACAGGGTCTTGCTTATCACCCAGGCTGGAGCCCAGTGGTGCAATCATGGCTCGTTACAGCCTTGACCTTCCAGGCTCAAGCGATCTGCCTACCTCAGGCTCCCCAGTAGCTGGATCTACAGGCATGAGCCACCGTGCCAGGTCTTTCTTCTTTTAATAATAGTTTTCTAGTTGCTTTTTTGACTCTTAGTAGGATATTCTCAGTATCATTACTCTCAGCAAATCATTTAAATTGGTAATATTTTCATTCACGTATTCATTCATTCAAGAAACATAGGATGGAGTACCTTCTATATTCCTGCACTGTGCCAGGTACTGGGAACACAGTGGTGAACAAAACAAAGATCTCTGCCCTCACAGAACTGACATTCCAGGAAGAACGACTGCTGTCAAAACTTTAACATCCAAATTTCAAATGTGACCAGACTTTTAGCTCAAGCTCTGTCTATGACTATAATAGACTATAAAGGAATTGATGGAAATTACATTTAAAAAATTATATTTCTTTTTATGTAAACTGTTGAAATTTTTTTTTTTTTTT